ATAATAATAATAATAATAATAATAATAATAATAATAATAATAATAATTTATTTGAGATGTCATCCTGGAAAATTAGAACAAGGTGGGAAAGTGACTCTAGGAGGGGAGAAAGGTAATGTGCATGATCAAACTCATTACTTCTTCAAGCTTAGATCAGTCCTGCTGGAAGCTCTGAACTATGACACAAAGCACACATCAGAGGCTAGTGAAAGGATTCAGTGGGTAAAAACTACACACAAACCCAGGGACCTGAGCTCGGTTCCCAGAATGCAAGGTGGAAAGAGATATTCAAACTCCCAAAAGTTGTCCTCTGGTCTTTAGAGACACATTATGGCCCTCATGAGCCTGGACACACACACAAACAGACACACAGTCCCATTATCACTATATTATCCCTGAGTCACAGATGAATAATGAATCCCATAAACCACAAGCACACACCTAAATGTAAGCAGGCGTGCACACACACACAAGCATGCACACACCACATACACTGGCAAATAGTACAGACTTCAACATCACTACCTGTGTTTTGTTTGCCTTTAAGCTAGGCCGGAAATCCTCGTGATGGTGGAGAACACCACCCTGGATGTCTTAGGAGAGGTGAGTCACATCAAATCCTTTGAACATCGTCAATATTGCATGCCAAGCGCTGCCAGGTTGCATAGTTACCAGGAGCTTTCCCTCAAAAGACTGTCCTTACTCCTTGGCCCTTAGCCAGTTCACTACTGCTGAGGGAAAGCAAGCTGGGGTCATTGGAAAACTGAACATAAGTCCTTGTTTTGACTTACTGTTTACAGAAGGCGTGAGCTGCATCCTTAGGTCTTACTTTCCTGGGGAGTAGAGGGTGCATTTTGGTTGTTTAAATGTCTGTGTGATTAAAAAAAAAACTGAGGGAAAGTGGGACGAAAAACAGTGTGAATCTTGTAAAAGAAAGAGCTCTGCTCACCTGACGCTTAATTTGTTGTTCTCCTGAGTCCGCTTCCCCATTGCTTGGGGAAGAGGATTGGTTGCCTCCGGTCCTCCTCCAAAACCTGCCTATTTCCCCTACAATAAGAGGAAGCACGGGAGACAAGGGAAAGTAGAACAGGGCGCTCTGGGTTCACCCCTTCAAAGTAGCTCTCAGCCTCCGGACATTGATCTAGACTCACTTCCTGGCTGGCTGTGACTAGGACAAATTACTTCATACCTGTGTAGTCAGTTCTCAGTTTATATGACATTCCTAAGAATAATATCTGCTTGTTGTGGTTTTAATAATGAAATCAATGTATGAGTAATTCTTAAAATAGTGTGTGGTGTGTGGCAAACGGTCAATAAAGATTGCTGCTGTGATCATTGCTATTCTTGTGTGTGTGTGTGTGTGTGTGTGTGTGTGTGTGTGTGTGTGTAGTTTGGCTTGGTTTGGTTTGGTTTCTCAATACACATTTTCTCTGTGTAGCTCTTGCTGTCCTGGAACCTGCTTTGCAAACCAGGCCAGCCTCAAACTACCTGTGCTTCCCAGTTGCTGGGATTACTGGCATGTGCCACCATGCCCACAACACTGTTATCTGTATTAACTTGTCTTGTGGCCTTGTGACTCCACCTAAGCTTTTCAATATCCCAAGTAAAATGAATGTTCTCATGCGCTTCTGTTACATGGTATGAACAAGGTATATTTCAGCTGATTCTCACCCAATGAATATTATGATTTGTGATCCTCCTGGACATCAGTCATTTAATTCCATAGCTTCATATAAATCATGCCCCAAATTCTGTACAGTTATTCTAAATGATGCTAAACATGTTTTATTCAAGTATCTGTATCTACTAATTGGTATTATAATTTTAATGTAATAAAATAGATTTAATCATTTATGTTCTGTTCCAATCAAGTTTCAAGCTTATCAGTGAGCTTCACTCATTTGAGTGGCTTAAATAAATTTAAAAAAAATCCAACAATACAGCCTTCAATAGATGTATTTGTTTCTTCTTAGAAACTCTTGCAGATTCTTGGAGCCAGTGTTTCTGAGTAAGATGACCTCATGCCAGATACAAAACCATAAAATCCTATCCAAGAATCCCAGTTGGAAATTTAAAAAGGAGTACATTGCTTCACATCCCACAAGTCATAAAATTTCTTCTTCAGAACCCATGCATGCTTAGATGTTGACTGGAAAACAAAAGGCCATGCAGTATTCCCTGAGAAATCAGTGAATATTTATCTCTTTCCAGCTCCATGTAACCACGGCCTGCCTGGAGATGCTTGAAAATCTTACCAAACATTATTAACTCCTTACTCTAATTTCTTAGAGTTTTTAATTTTTTAATTTCTGTCAAACATTTTAATGTACTTTTGCTTTGCTTTCAACTAGGCTTCAAAATAGAGCATCTGCTATTTTACATAAGAGAAATGAAAGCCTGGAAGCCCTGAACATTTGACTGAGTCACCAGCAAGGGGCTGAGCTCGAGTGCATGTAAGCACACACCCAGGGAGGATGGGACAATGAGAAGAAATGGTGCCTGGGTCTGATAGCACGTATATCAAAGTACTGTACATATATATACTATATATACAGTAAAAGTTATATATACTGTTATGTATACAGTAACAGTTATATATAGCTATAGGATATAGCTGTATAACCACATCAAGTAGTTAACCTCCGTGAGCCTCAGTGTGTTACTCTCCCAGATTAAAAAAAAAATCTCTCAGACTTTTGTATAATAAATATTTCATATGATTCTTAGGAGATTTAAATTTATGCACAGTTCCGGAATCCATGACACACCATAGATATCTCAGGGTATATTTTTTCTTACTCACTTATCAGTGTCACTCTGCTTCACCAATCCCTTTCTCTGCTTGTGCCTTCATGTATCTACTCTGTGGTCAATTCTAGGGCACAAAATGGAATAAAGAAGAGGAAGAACTAGGGTACATCATAGAATCTAGTGGAACTGGGTTTGATGTCTCCATCCAATAACTTGGGAAACTAGAACCTTACTTCCTTATCTCTCTTATCCGTGGAAGTGGGCACTGGCTGATTTCAACCTCATAACAGTGATGGAATGAGCAAATGAGAGACTGTTTGCAAACCACCTGTCACCTGGCAGCCACAGGTATTCACAGTAACTCTCCTTTCCCTAATTCCCTAGAAAGGAATTAAGTAAGGGTCCATATACTGAAGGCCCAAGCTTAACAGCCCTCTGCCACAAAATTTGCTGGGGCTTCAATCTATTATGAGTTATGATCAGTAGATTTAACTGGTGTTATTAGTTAAATCTACGAAGTTTGTAACTGGTGCCTCTTTTCTGTAGAACAAACATGACCTAGAATTATTCTAATGGTAATACCTCTCAAACTTAGATATACTAGTGATTTCAAAAGAAAATATTTTACCTATGCACATCATGATCTTGTATGTTCCTGAGCACACAACTTCAGCAGGCTGCCATGCAGCATCTGAGAGAGGTTGGCTTAACCTGCAGTTTAGGGTCACTCCATCTAGCAGATTTTCGCATTAAACTAAGAGATGCCAGGCCAAACAGCCTCACAGTTAATAGTAGCTAATACAGCAAGGCAAAAGACATGCATGGAATCCCAAGAGTTTATTGAGGAGTCTGACTTTTTAAAAGCCATAGTGTTTCCTTTATGGGTGTGCTTTTTGCTTTAACCTGGTTGTACAAGTTTACATTCCCACCAGCAATGGAGGAGAGTTCCCCTTTCATCACATCCTCTCCAGCATTTGTACTCACTTGAGTTTTTGATCTTAGCCTTTTTGACGGGTGTAAGATTTTATATATATATATATATATATATATATATATATATATATATATATATATATATATTTACTTACTTACTTACTTATTACAATTTATTCACTTTGTATCCAAGCTGTAGCCCCCTCCCTCATCCTGTCCCAATCCTATTTCCTTCACTCATCAATTCCAAAGCCTCTTGCCCTGTCCACTGTTAGGGGAGGTCCTCCTTCCCTTCTATCTGACCCTAGCCTATCAGGTCTCATCAGGACTGTCCGCATTGTCTTTCTCTGTGGCCTAGTAGGGGACACAAGATCTTTTAAGATAGCGGTTTTGAAACCTTGCTAATGCTGTGACCTTTTAATACAATTCCTCATGTTATGGTGACCCTCAAGCATAGAATTATTTACGTTGCTACTTCATAACTGAAATTTTGCTACTGTTATGAATCATAATGTAAACATCTGTGTTTTCCAAAGGGATTAGGTGACTCTGTCAAAGAGTCATTTGACACCCTCCAAAGAGCCAATGACCCACAGGTAGAGCACCACTCTTTTAAACCAATGTCTCCATCACTTTCAGTAAGGCTGGTTCTAGAACACCAATTATCAATGAGAATAGGAGACACAGTCTTCCCCTCCTCTTGTCTATACTAGCTCTCTGCTCTGCTGATATTTGCTACGTTTCTCATCACAGTAAGAAAATACCTGACAGAAACAGCTTAAGGAGGACTGTATTCCAATTTAAGAGGGAGTTGTAGTCATGTTCTCAGAAAACCATGGTTTCAGGAATGTGAAGTGGCTCTGAAGTGTCTGGCCACACTATCCACACTGAGAAAGATGAATGTTGTGCTCAGTTTATCCTTTGCCCCCCATCTCTCCTGTGTCTCAAACAACCCAAACTGGCCTTGACATCACTACGTAGGCAAGGGTGACCTTAAACTCGCCATCCTGCTGCCTCCACCTCCAGAATGCTGGGATTACAGGAGTGAGGCCAGCTCCTTTTTCCTTTTCATTCAGCCTGGACCTTCGTCCAGATGTTGTCATCCACGTCTAGGACATGTCTTCCCTCTTCAATGAAACCTCTTTGGAAATACCCTAATAGATATAGCCAAGGCATGTTTCCTATGAGATTCTGAATCCTGCCAAGGTGATAAAGAGGACTAACCAACTCACCAGAAGGGGAAAAGGAGGGAAAGGCACTGGAGGGGTCATCTCCAGTAACAGGCAGCCCCAGCACAGAGGCCACAGTCACGCTTAGTATGGTTTTATTCTTTTCCCAAGTTAGCATTTCAGACATAGCCTCAGCAACACAGGACATTTTTTTTCTCCATGTGGGCTATTACAGTCTTTTTCCTTTTCTTTTCAAAGCATCACTGAACATTTAAAGATGAGCCTTTTAATAAAATATTAAAGAACAATGGATTGCCATGCAGCTCATATTTTAGAGGTGCAAGGAAAATCTAAAACTTACTTCTCAAATGAATGGCTGGTCTCTGAGTATGAAATAAAGTCAACATCATTAAAATTGTGCCTTTGGGCCCTACAAAAATGTTCTCTTTCCTTTAGTCACCCCGGTGATGGTGGTCCCTTTCTTTATTCATTATGAAGCCTTCTGACAGCACCACTTCTCTTTCCTCTCTCCACATTTCTCTCTAGCACTTTTTCTTTATAATTTTCTCTCCTTCATTTCTCCTTACACTGCCACTCCCTTATACCTTCATGTGGAATTGAATTAAATTTTTAAATTTTTGTGAGCAAATTATAATATTGTTCTCCTTTGACTTTTTTTAATTTTAGTTACTGTGTGTGTTGTGTGTTTTATGTATTGTGAGGGCAGGCACACATGTGCCATAGTGCGCG